ATATAGTTATTTTTTGTGCCTATCCTGGAACTAGCTCTTGTAGACTAGGCTGGCCTCAAACTCAGAGATCCGCCTGCCTCTGCCTCCCAAAGTGCAGGGATTAAAGGTGTGTGTCACCACTGCCCGGGGCACTTACATAAATCATTTACTTAGACCCAAACAACTTACATAAGCTTACATCCTCAGTCCTTTACAACTCACATTTATACACCGTAAATCATTTCCTTACCTACATAAACTTTAAACTTGTGTTCCTCTATCCAGTTATTTATCCTAAGACATAGGTAGTTGATTATTGAGAGCAGTCATTGAAAAGCAATTTTAAATAAATAGTAAAAAGTATATTTTTAGTTACCTGAGGTTTTTTTTTTGTGTGTGTGAGTTTATCTCTTTCAGTGTGAAGCCTGTGGATCCATGTTTCTCAACAGGACCTGATTTCACATAGGAAATGGGCTGACCAGGCAGCTGCAGCTTTGGGGAAGGATCTGGTATCCTCGCTGCTACAAAACTGACTACGGTTAGTCATCAATGACACCAGAGATCTGAGCAGCACATATAAATCCAAATGGGCTCTTTACCAATTAAAATGACAGAGAATTAGCCACTACTGGACGGCCAGCCTGGGCTATTCCATGGTAGCTTCTTCTTCTTCTTTTTTTTTTTTTTTGGCCAGGGAGGGAGCAGAGGTCATCAGTCTTGGGCGTTACACAAGTAGCAGTTAAGTCTCTGGCTTGGTGTGGGAGGTCCTTCTGTCTGTGAGCTGCTTTCATTCGTTAATGAGTGAAGAAACTGCCCTGGCCTGTTGATAGGGCAGAACTTAGGTAGGTGGGGAAGATGGAACTGAATTCTGGGAGGAGGAAGGCAGAGCCAGAGAGACGCCGTGGATTCGCTGCCAGAGTAAGACATGCTGCCGAAACTTAGCCAGTAAGCCACTGCCACGTGGCGATACACAGATTAATAGAAATGGGTTAAGCTGAGATGTAAGAGTTAGCCAATAAGAAGTTAGAGCTAGTGGGCCAAGAAGTATTTTAATTAATATAGTTTCTGTGTGATTATTTCGGTTCTGGACAGCCAGGACGAACAAGTGGCCCCCTCCACTCCTCCTACATTGGCTGTCACACAGGGCAGCTTTAAGTCTTCAGCTGCCAGAGAGAGACTTTTCTATGGAAGAGGAACTTAGGAAAACTGACCTATCTTGGCAAGACAGAATAGGTCAGTCAAACCTACAGTGTCTATTCTTTGGGCAGATCCCTGGCAGCAGGTATGGGGAAGCTCTTTGTCTGGTGGTTAGTGTTAGTTCAGGGCTATTCTAACAGTCCCAACCAAGAGACAGAGAGTGTTAAGTCGCCAGTGTAGCCTTAGCCCCTGGCATCCATTCCAGCCCCCTGGCCTGGGAGTTGCATTGGTCTGGACTCCAAATCCCAGCATGCCAGGTCCTGACCTCTCCCTGGGGAAAGGTCAGGACCACTCACACAGGGTTATTAAGTGAGTTCTCAGAGGAGAAACATGTGGTTCCGGGTCTGCATGTGCTCCCCGCTTTCCTGTCTCCCTTCCATGCACTCGGCCACCCAAGAGTGCCACATTTAATAAAACAATGGACATTTTAATTTGGTTTACTCTGACCTAATTAGATTTTTTTGTGCCAGTGGAACCGCCTGTCATAGGATTTTTTCCTAAGTTAGCAATACCATAATCCAGGTAGAGTCTTCTTTGGAGATAGCCTTAGCTACTGTTACCAGAAACTGATATTTTGTCTCAGGGAAGCCTTTTCATTAACTACTTCAAATGCCACATTCAGCAGATCACACTGAGGGGCTTCAGGGTCACCATCTAATCTATTATGTATACCTGGTTTAAACAAACTGTTTTTGATTACATGCTTCAGGTTTAACATTGGTAGCATATACAGAAGGCAGAAGCTTGTCCCCGAGAATGAATCCCATGGCTACAAGCATAGTTCTGAGCCATTTACAACATAACTGTCTGCAAACTTGCTTAGTTTTAAGTTTCCAAGTTAGTAGGTTTTGTTTTTCTTTTTATTTATTCTGTGTGTCTTTTACATCATGTGTTTTGATACCCTTATTTCTTGGTCCCTTCATATCTGCCCTCTGCCCCTGTATCCCCCACTCCAAACAAAGCAAAATTTAAGAAACCCACACCATCGGGGCCAGCTCTATGTGTTGCCCAGGTGAGATACAGGGTGAGGGGCAGGGACAGCTCTCCTGCTCTTATGGCCCCAGGGCCAGCTCCCCCACCTGTCTCCGGTGTTGACGGGTGAGGGGACTGCATCTCTCTTCAGCCCATGCCACCAGATGTCAGATGAGTAATGGGCTCTCCCTTGCTCACAACATCAGGGCTGGGTCACCCTCACCTCAGACCACCAGGCAGCTCTGCTGGGCTGCTTAGGCAAGGGGCAGAGCCTACTTTCCTTAGTGCTACAGCTGATAAGGGGGCCAAGTTAGAAGCTTTTATAAAATTAGAATTTTATAGTTTTATCCCTGGTAAGCCTTAAAAATTGAACTAAAGATCTAATTGAAGATTCTTTAGCATCAAAATATAACTGTAACCACAAATAGAGCCCACAGAGAGACCAGGAGCCTTTCCTGAACCTTTACAGTGTAACTTCATAGAATATTGTAGTTTCTTGTAAATTGAATCCGTTTATCCAAATAGCTAAAGTGTGACAAAGTTAAAGAAGACAATGAGGCTGGACATACATCCTGAAATCAGTTTCTGTCAGCCTGAATAGTCTTGAGGAATTTATAAGCCTTATTTATTAAAAGAGAACTATGTTGTTCCTTATTTAAAATGTTTAGTAAAAATGTCAGCAAGCCACAAGGTTGCTAATTACTTCAAGGTGAGCCAATCAGCATACACCCATTTTTTCTTAAACAACAAAAACAAAAAAACATCCTTTTATCCTAAACAAGAGTTGAATCCAAGCTACATATAGAAAGATTACATATGAATAGATATTAAACTATTAACCTTTTAATTTACAAGTTTTAAGCTGACTTTTTGCTAAAGATTTTATAAAGATTTAAAACCACACCCAATGAACTTAAAAATCCTGAGATGAGAGCGTTTAAACAAGAGTCTTTCAAATCTTGATATAACATTTATATTTTAGCAAAAGTTTTAGAGACATGAGAAAGAAGCAGTTTAGAGTTAAATAAAACCAAGAAAAGGAGTATGAGCCAAGCAGCTGTAGCTAGACTGGGAACAGTTCACTGTGAAAGGCCTAGTCCATGGCTCCTTCCCTGGCTCTTCTGTTTGCTTTCCTGCCTCCTGACAGAGTCACCAGTGTACCTGACCCAGAAGAGAGGTTGTGGAGGAAACTGTTGAACAGGCTTGCTCTGGTCTGGAGAAGAAGGGCTGCAGGAGGGACGTCATGAGCTAAGGGAGTCTAGGGTAGGGGAGGAGGTGAAGAGACAGTCGTCTCTTCTGTTTTTTGAAATTTGGGGAAATGGAGTTCTTTTGGATCTGACAGTAACAAGAGCATTGGGAATCGTTTCATGTTTTGGGGAAGGCTATGGGACCCTTTTGGCTAATAATTCAAAAAATAATCCACTCCTGACACTGATTGATTTTTCTTGGTGGCACAAGGTGTTTAGCTGGGGGAGGGGGAATAGAACATAGTATTATAAAAGGATAAACAGGAAACTAGAATTAAATTAAAACTAGGATTAAATAGGGAAATGAGAGGGCAGGGTAAAGGAGGGACAACTAACAGTAAGGCCTTTTGAAAATCCATATGGAAATCTTAAAAGATATGCATATCTAAAAACAATCTCAATGGAATAAGCATATAATAATGAGGGAGACAACTTATTTTCATGATGGGATGGAGAAAAGGCTTGGTGGTGGTGGGTGGCCACCGTTTCCTGGCCGACCAAATTCAAAGGAGGGGTGGCTCTGAAATTCGCACTCTGCATGCCTCAGTCCCCAGATCAGCTCAGGGGTGGGGTGGGGTGAAGTATGGCTATTGCCTGACCACCTCTAGGTGACCCTGTGGCTAGCCTCTCTGCAAGGCCTGCCACAGACTTTCTGTGAATCTCCGAGAAACAGGATTCTGAGAAGCCAGCAGCTCCCACCCTGTCGCGCTGTTCTGCTTCACGCATTTGCTGGCCTGGCACTTTTTTTTTTTTTTTTTAAATTTTTTTTAATGTGCATTGGTGTTTTGCCTGCATGTGTGTGTTAGCATGTCAGATCCCCTGGAACTGGAGCTACAGTCAGTTGTGAGCTGCCATGAGAGCTGTGACTTGAACCTGGGGCATCTGGTACAGCAGGGTCTCCACTGCAGAGCCATCTCTCCAGTGTGGTTTTCCTCTTTAGCTGGCCAGCCATCGGGTCTGGGCTCCGGCTCAGGCTTTTGTGATTAAAGCTAGGAAGTTGCTGCTGTCATGCAGAGCCTTGAACCAAGAAGCTGATGGCATCCTGGGCTTCACTGGCACAGTCTGACCGCCATACAGAACCTGCCCTGTGAGCTACGTGGGTGACAACCAGGTACAATCACATACACCACTGCTGCAGGGCCGGCAATACAAGCATCCCACCCTAGAGATGGGGAAAGGAGGCACAGTGATATCCCTGCCAGTGTCCCTCTTAAATGGGAGGGGGACTGGACATAACTATGGCGTCTCCAGGGTGACGAGGCATGCAGGCCTGGCAGACACTAACACCTCCCAACACTGGCATCTATCCCAGGGCTCTGGCCTTTGCCATGTTCCCGCTGGAGCAGCGGACTTTCTACCCCATCACAGCTGCCTGTGTCCCTTCTGCTGATCTGCCATGTGCTACATCTTACTGGTTTACTGCAAGTTCCCAAAAAGCTAGAGACCCATCTTTTCATGGCAAGTCTCTAGTCCCAGGCAGATCCTCAATAAAGGAGAGGCTACCGTGTGGGCCTTCTTTTCAAGGAGGGCACGGTGACTGCTGACTTGGAAGTGAATCTGCACAGCGGTGGGAAGGAAGGCTGAGGAAGACCCATGGCCTCAGGACAGGAGCTCTGGATGAGTCCCGCTAGCTTGGGCGTGGTTGAAAGCTACTTACTGCTGCAGAACTACCCTTCCCAAATCTTAAAACCACCTCCACCAGTTAGTTTGCCTGGGATGTAACCAGGGAAGGCCTGGGGGTACAACTTGTCTCTACAGTCTGCCATGCTTTGTGTGACTTTGGTCCTGGAACTCTGACTAGGGGAAATAAGGGAATGAACAAAGGACAAACACACAGACATGGTAAAGTTGGGAGGGGACCGCCCCACCCGGCAGCTGCTGCATGTTTATTAGGCACAGCACAGAGAGAGGTTACGCATTCTCTAATGGAGGCCTCTGTAGGTGAGCAGTCTTGGGTTATAAGCATCTTTGCACACACTGGCCAACCAAACATAACCACTCACACTGGGACTCAGAGGAAGGCTCCACTTGAGTGGGACTGAGGCTTAGGAGTTCTTGACCCGCAGTGTCTGTGTCAGCAATACACATCCCGTCAGGACGTGCTTCCCTCCCCACAGTGTGCTAGCTCAGGATGCTGTGCGGGTGGGTAGAACAGGCTGGGGTGGGAACATACTGGGGCGAAGATGAGGTTGCCTCTGCTTTAGAGGAAGGTGAGCTGGAGACTCAGAGGAGTGAGGCACATGTAATGGATAGGGACAAGGCCTTATCTACAGTGGGCTAATTGGAGGACAGGGAGGCTATGAACGGGACAGTAGGACCTGGCTTTGGCAGCTGAGTAGCTGTGGATCGGGGTAGGCACAAGGATGCAGGAACTTGCTATGCCATGTTGAGGGTCAAGGGTACTGTGGGAAGGTTGAGGTGAATGACCATCTCTGCATGGTGGGCTTAATTGGTTGTAATTCTTTGGTAGGAAGATGGCACCCATCCCCTCATTTTTGTTTTTTATTCTTTTTTTGAGATAGGTTTTCTCTATATAACAACCCTGGCTATTCTGGAACTTGCTTTGGCGACTAGGCTGGCCTCAAACTCGCAGAGATCCACCTGCCTCTGCCTCCAGAGTGCTGGAATTAAAGGTGTGTAGTACTCCCACTAGTTCCCCTGATTTTCTTAACTACAGCCAGAATTCTGACACTGGCTTCCCATGGTCACTGGGGGGTCTGAGTGTGCTCCAGAGTGTCACAGAGTGAAGTTACCCCTCATATCAAGTGCCTCTGGGGGGAACACAACCTCTGCAGCCACTGTGAAGCTACCATGCAACTAGTGCCTAGCATTTCCTGAGCAGGAAGGTGTGCCCACCGCTCACCACAGACTCTCCTCCCAGACTGGATGGAGGCCTTCATCTGGGCTCCCTTCACCTATGGGAGCTTCTCCTAATGCAGGCATGGCCCTCCTGCCCTTTCTGGAATTTAAGGAGCTGTTGTGTCGTTAGCACACAGGCAGTCTCCCTCTTTGAGATAATGCAGCTATATCTCTGTAGACAAAAGTGAGCAGATGTAGAGGGAGCCCCCCCTGCCTGGGAGCCCCCCTCCTCCGTGTAGAAATGTTGCCTCTTCCCACATCTGTCTTACAACAGATGTGTTTAGAGTTCAGAGGCTGGCTTCCAGTCAAAGTGTCCACTTTGGAGTGCTAGAATCAACTCCATAAGGACCAACTGGCAAATGGGTAGACCTGGATTCCAAAACTCACACATAGAGGGGCTGCCCTGGCTTTGGCTGGTTCCTGTGTCCGGAGCAGGAGCAGCCCTGCCTTGCCCCAGGGCTGCCCGATAGCTTTACCTAGCCACGCCTGGGGCCTGCTGATAGCTCTACCTAGCCACGCCTGGGGCCTGCTGATAGCTCTACCTAGCAGTATCTTCAGGCTCAGCCTTTAGTTTGGAAACAGGAAGAATGGAGTTGCAGGAGCAGGCTCAATGGGAAGGACCCAGCAAAACAAGCCCAACCCAAAGGCAAACAGCCAGTACTGGCCTAGGGTGTTCCCAAGGTAGAAGCGGGGCTCAAACACCAGAGCCTCTAAGTGAAGTCCTCAGGTAGAGAGCTGAACTAGGTAGAAGGACAGTTGGAGACAGGGGTGAGGCACTTCTGGCACACGTGGGGCTATTACTGGTCTGGAGAAGGCCCCAAAGGTCCAGTGAGCTAGTCCCTGTGCCTATGAGGGCTTGTGGCTCCTGGGCCATGCTTTCATCACTGGCTGCCTGGGAGCCTGAAGCTGCCTCAGCACATGCTAAATGACTGCTCATTTGCTGGCTCCTGGGCTTCATCTAAACTACAGGTGCCCCCCACTCTGTCCTCCCTATGTGTCATTTAAGATGTAAAGTGCTCTGACCTCCCCATTCCTACCCTGTGGCAAATCCTCTGCTGCAGGAGACTGCCATGGGGAGGGCCCCACATCAAAAGGCCTCTGTAGCCCACACTGTCAATGGGAGTGGCACTTCTGGACCCACAATCCTCCCTAATGGCTCTGCCACTCACTTCACACCTGCTCTTCCAATGTCTTAACCTCGCTGGGCTGACAAGGGCAGACAGCATTGGTGGTATCATGCAGGTAAGGAAGCAGTTTCAGGAGGCTGTGAAGGTTGCCCATGTTACAAAGGAAGGAAAAGCAGGTGAGGCCAAGCCATGGACGGCACCAGCTGCACCTGGCCAGGCGCTTCTGTGCTTGCATGACCTCAGAGCTAGGTTCTTGGAAGAATGGGGTCACTCTCCCAAAGGAGGAGTCGTTTCCTACATTATTAGCCTGAGTTCCAGCACCGAGGTTCATGAGGACATCGTTAAGCAGATAATGGAGCCTCATGAACAGAACTACAACTTCTACCCCAACATGGTCCTGAGACTGGGTATATGAACTTGTTATTTCTTACCAGAAAAAGGATTTGCCTAGCATGGAGGAAGGCATCTGATCAGTGAAGAGGCCTGGCTTGATAGCTCTCTGTGTATACAGCCTCTTCTCCAGGCTCCTACGTCCTAGTAGCTCCCACTCTGGATAAAGGCAGAGGCCAGGACTGTGTCCTGGGGAAAGATAGAACTGGCTGACACAGGGCCATAGGTACTCCCCACTTTGTCCTTGAGTGGCCACTGGGAGAGCTGTTACAAAAACAGCAACCTGCACCAACACTGGCGCTATGGCTAGGGGATCCTTTGCATTTCTTCAGCTCTCCTGCCACTAAGGGCAGCACCTGCATGCTCGTCCAGCACAGCCATCCCTGCACACGGGAGGAGGCAAGTCCCAGGGAGAGGCTGTGCTCTAGAGCTATACTTATTTGGCAGTGTGGTCATTTCTTTTCTTTTTAAGCTGCAGTTAGCGCAGAACAGCAGGTCATCTTTGACGAAATAAACCAGGAAGGCCCCACGACCACAGCAAACCTGTAAGACAAGGCAAGTCTGTGACCCTCTGGAGCACACCGGAATGTTTTAACTCACAATTCCAATCTGATCAGAGAGGATTGCGTGAAACAGAGACATGTTTAAAAAAGTAAATGACAATGGGGAGTAATCTAAGCTTGGCATATATATATAAACTGTATTTAGCTGCTACAATCAAAATGTGAGCGTTCAGAACGGATGATTACCAAGTGGCTAAAGAAAAAAGTTCAATATCCAGGGTTTTAAAATGTGCAGTTAGATAGAGTACCTGATAACGCACAGGGGAGGAACACATTCTGCACCAGCAACGTCGGGACAGAAAGGGAAGCAATGTTCAACAGGAAGAGTGAAGTCACCTAGTAAACATAGCACTCTCCAAGCAGAAAAGCGGGCTAACTGGGGACCACAGAAACATCTCCGTGTGAACCCAGGAGCTCTCACGGGGCACTCACACAGCACAGGATGGGGCACGGGCAGGGCAGGTAGGTTAAAGACTGTGAAATGCCCATTCAAATGGCAGGGAATCAGCCTGTCACCTTCTTGGCTCCGTGGATAGACAATAACACTCAGCTATGACCCTTCTTCTCAAAGCAGAGAGAATGTTGGGGACAGTGTCTCAGCTGGGGCAGACATGGCCAGCACTGTAGCAGGCCTGGAGGGGTGAGTAAATACTTCCTTAGGGCTAAGGGTACGGATGCCTCTGTGAAGCGGCTGAGGGCAACCTTCCCTCGGAGGATGGATGCCCACCATGTGGTGGCCCTGGTTCTTATGTCTTCATGGGACATGGAACTAGCCTCCTTAGAGTGCTAGAGGACTAGTCCGAGGAAGGGGCAGAGCTCATCGGGCACTGGCTGAGCCCTGCCATCTAGTACAGCTAAAAAGTCCTCATAGGGGAGGACTTCAGTGTCCCTGTTTCCAAGATGGAGGAGCATCACACATCAGTGTACTTGTCTGCAGAGAAAGGCAGTGCTGGGAAGGAGGGGGACACTGCCCAGAGGCTACTGCCCTCTGCAGGAGGGACACAAGGCAAGTGTAGCAGGTGCTACATCTGCCAACAGTTCCCACTGTCCCCAGTGGAGTGCCAGCTTGGGCACAGAAAGCCCTTCTCCTTGCAGGAAAGAGTGCCCGGCACAGCTCTGACTCTGCCAGCAAAGGAGGTGGCACAGCTGTGGCAGCCCAGGCAGGGCACAGGGCATGCAGAACCATCCTTGAAGCAGTACCCGGATGACTTTACAGCTGAGCATCAGAGTGGGGCGGGCTGAGTAGGGGCCCTGGATTCTTCTGGCCCCTGGAATGCTTTTTGGGAAGCCTGCTCCCACAGAAGGGACCCCAAATCTAATTCCCAGTGGGGTTTGGCTCTTGGTCGTGGAAATGTGATTTCCCTTTATGCTGCTCATTGTAAGAGGCCACCTTAGTTTACAGCCGCCTCATGCTTCATGCCTGTGGAGATTCTAGAAGGTGAAATGCAGTTCAGGGAGAACAGTGGAGGCTGAAGTTTATTCAGCACAGGGCCTGGAAATGTACTCGAGTCAAACCAGAATCTGAGTCCTAATCTGAGCCCCTGCATCTCCAGTTCACTCTGAGTGCAGCACGGCTTCTGAAGGCAGCAGGGAGGCTGGCTGCCAGATCGCCAAAGCCTTGCTAACAGGAAGTCCTGAAAGCAGCTCCTCCCGCTAGGTGCAGCCGAAAGAGCTGCTGGGGAGGAGGATGGAAGACGGTGACACAAACTGTGGTCTGTCTGACAGTGGGCACGGAGCTGGGTGCCTGACTTCGCCCTAGCTCAGAGCAAGGGTCACAGGGTCAGGTGGAAAGCTCTACCTGCACTTCTGGTGAACATAGGGCACGAAAAGAGGAAACCTCTTGTTAAAGGATGGGTGTGCCAGTGCCAAAATGCATGCTGGGAAAAAAAAGTTAGTTCAGCAGCAGGGTCTCCACTAGTCGGGTCCCTGTGTTCAGATGTCCAGGGGACTGACGATGGTAAAGCCAGAGTCTTTGCTGCTGTCGTCATCAGGGCTGGAGCTGGGGTTGCTGGAGGAGGCTGAGGCTGGGCCCATCAAGGGGTCTGAGAATACCAATGGGGAGCAGGCTGCTCTGCTCCTCCCAGATGTGCTTCTGAGGGTGAGAAGAGGCTGGGACTGGCCTGAGAAGGCCCCCCTGGCACTGCGCCCCTCATCTTCTTTGTTAACCAGAATGAAGTCATCGGGGGTCCCTCCACCTGTGCAGCCCGGCGTCTCTGAAGGGGCCTGTGAAGTAAAACCAGAGGGAAAGGATGGTGACAGCAGGCATGGCAACCCTGTACAAAGGCCAGTGAGCAAGGTGGCCATGAGGGGTTACCTCACCCTGTACCTCATTTAGGAAGAGCCTAGTCTGCCCGTGAGAGCAGCACTGCCTTGCCAGCCCTCTGAAAGCAAACACTTGCCACCCAGGAGATGGAAGTCAAGCTACTGTTTGAAAAGCTGCAAGGAAATGCAGCGTCCATACTGTAGGAGGGTCAGGCCCAGGAGCCAGCTACCAGGCCATAGATGCTACTCTGACACCAGCCTCCCGTAAGCTCCTTGTAATCTTGTATTTCACATCAACGAGACAGGGTGAAGCGGCACGTGCAGGCTCACGAAGCTGCTTTGGAATGTGAGATACCACGTCTGGAGTGTTTTATTGTCTCTCAGCTAGCTAATCTTGGGTGCAATGGTGGTACTGGTAGCAATAAATAGTAAATCAAGAAAAATAAACAGGAAAATCAAGAAAGTAAAGTTCAGTGGAAACACAGTAATGATTTAGTCCACAATTATTTTCCCCTTCACAAAAATTTTAAGTGGATTTTTATCATTTTAGCCGACAGACACTAATATCTATGAACACACGTAAAAGTCTGGGGTTAGCTGGGTGTGTTGGGTCATACTTTTAATCCAAGCACTTGGAAAGTGGCTTTGGTTATATAGTGAGGCCTGGTATGGAAAAGGTAAAGTCAGCAAACAAAGCTGTAATCTTGCCAAGACGGTCTAGTACCAGGTGAGGAGACACCTTACCTCAGCATGCACTGCCCGCTGACTGCACCTGCGTCCCCTGCCCTGAGACAGAGACAGCTCCCTTCAGCAAACAAAGCTGTAATCTTGCCAAGACGGTCTAGTACCAGGTGAGGAGACACCTTACCTCAGCATGCACTGCCCGCTGACTGCACCTGCGTCCCCTGCCCTGAGACAGAGACAGCTCCCTTAAAGGGCGGCCAGAGAACACGTCTGACTCCTGTTAGTGTCTTCTTGCAGAAGACAAAGACAGGGCATGGGGCTCCTTAGTGCAAGCCTGGGCTGATCTCAGATGCAGCTATGGAGGAAAGTGTTTGCCTACTCAAGGTTGGGCCATGCGTTGTGTGCTGACTGCTAACAAGGCTCTGTGTCTAGGAGAGAGTGCAACATAAAAGAGGCGGCAGGAAAGGAGAAATGGGGCATTTCTGGAGTCTCTAACCTGTGAAGTGGGTTCAAACGTTCCAGCCACCTGTTCCCGAGTGCCACGTTCCTAGAGCAATTCCTTCTCAGGAAGGATGAATGCCAGGCTCCCAGGGCTCATGGCACTGAGCTCATGGTGCTGCTCCATAAGGGCCAGAGTGCCATGAACACTCCCTGGAAACGCACTAACTTACATCAGACCTGAAGTCTGGGTACAAGACCATGCAGGACCAGCTCTCAGCACCACCGTCGCTCCCAGAGAACGTTCCAGCAAAGTAAGAGCTGATACAGGAGTGTCTTTGCTGTTATTGGCTTTGCACTTCCCAAGGGGCCAACACACTTAGTTTTCCTACAAGTTCTTACAACTATGAACACCAGCAGAGCCTGTCTCTGTCGTATGCAGCTCAACATTTCAAATATAGCAAATGGTTAGTGACCCTCAAAGATTTCTGTCCTGTAGTATTTTTACACAGTCAACTAAAAAATCATTTTGATTTTAAAACCGCCAATGAAAAGTAGTTGGTGAGTCTATGTGCACCAAAGTTTACCTATATCTGTGTAGGGAAGGGAAATTTGGAGAAACTTATCAAATTAAAGTGCGAATTTATGGGGTGAAAATGCACTCACACAGCTCTGTGGCCCTTTCCAACAACTGTACAGGTCAACTAGAGCGCTGCCATCTGGAGGAAGACCCAGAAAACCGAAAAGCAATTCCCATTCCAATGCAGGAATTTTTCTCTGGTTCCTCTCTTAAGGATGAACTTCCTAAGCTGAGTTTTCAGAGAAGTCACTGGAACACCAGGGCCTAGCACACACCTACCATCGCAGACCTTACGAGTCTGAGGCAGAAGGACCTTGTGTTTGTGGCTAGCTTATGCTATATGGTGAAGCCCTGTCTCAAGCAATCGTACAAAATCATTAAAACTTTAGAATACAGGTTGCAGGGAGTCATCAGGATGGCTCAGTGGGCAAAGGTGCCTACCAGCAAGTCTGAATTTGATTGCTTGGAATCACACAGTAGGAGAGGACCAACTCTATAAGGCTTTTGGTCTTCATATGTATGTTACAAAATAAATAAATAATAAAATTTAAAAATTAAATATAACTTGGGCATGAACAATTTTTTGGTTGGTTACTAATGCACAGTGAGGCACCTAGAGGAGCTACAGGTTTAGCACAGGGCACAGGGCTCCTGACAAGCCAGGCTTTGCACCTTCTCTCTTCTGTTACTGATAAGCAGGTAGACTGAGCACACAAGAAAGGCCCAAGATTGCTCTAGCCAGAACACCCTGTTGGAATGACCCTGAGGGTACTGGTACCTGATAGGAAAAATGGGAGCTACGGCCTCAACCTCAGAGTGCTCCACGGGTTTAAGGAGTTGTTAAAAAACAAACAAACAAACAAACAAACAGCAACAGCAGTAAATTCAGTAGGATGTTCTCTGCCTTTCACAGAGGATATTTGCTGACCCGTGTCTTAGCAGCTATTCACTAATGAGAAGTTCTTCCTCAAGAAGTTAGGGGAATGATTTTGGCAAAATGGGATCTCATCAGGAGGAATGCACTGCAGGCAGCGTTGAGACAGTGTACAGAGTCCTTCCAGTGCTAGAGGACTAGAGAGACAGCTGGAAGGCCATAGATCCCTCATGGCATCCCAGAGTGGCCGGAGGCTCAGGCTTACAGAGCAAGCGCTGTGCAGCTCTCAGAGACATGAGTCTCGTCACCACTAGGAGCAGCGTCCTCTCTAGCTCTAGAGAGCATGACGGTGCTTAGGGTTCAGGCTGGATTATCTCTCAGCTCAACTTCATATCCAGTAGCCTGAAGAGCTTTGATAGGACTGGCCTTATTCATAACTCCGGAGAACCTAGGTTAACTTTGTGAAAGCCACTCTCCTCAATATTCATCAAAACTCCTGTACCTGCTTGGTGGCCCTAGGAACTTGGTGGCTCTGGTCCTGGCCGCTGGAGCAGTAGTGATCATCCGCAATGGTAATCTGTTCATTCTCCTCAGCCTCCAGTTGGCTCTGATTGAAGCGCAGGGAACCTTTCAGAATGTCTTTGATCTATTTTCAAAGGGGAAAGAAAATAACAAAAAGATAAATGAGTTTGTAGCTAAATGTAGCTAAGTATCACATACATTTGAAGCAGACTTGTCATTGACCCCTTTTTCCTACAGTAATTCCTTACTTTGTAGTTCTAGTTACTGCTAGTCACTGAACTTGGAGAAAGAATAGGTCCTCAGTTCTAAGCTGTCTGCTTGTCTGAGCAGTATACTGAAATCTCTCACCTTCTCTAGTAAGACAACGTGCAGAAGCGCTAGGATGGGAATCAATCCTTCGTCCAGATCGCCCACTGCCATGAACTCCTGTCCTGTTCACCACAACTGTGCTGCATCACAGTACTTCACACAGTAGCCACGTGTTACAGCACAGTACACACCCCCTACTTCACACAGTAGCCACGTGTTACAGCACAGTACACACCCCCTACTTCACACAGTAGCCACGTGTTACAGCACAGTACACACCTCCCTACTTCACACAGGAGCCACGTGTTACAGCACAGTACACACCCCCCACTTCACACAGTAGCCACGTGTTACAGCACAGTACACACCCCC